ACTAATGTAACGTTCAAGCACTCTCATGTGTTTTAGCAACTCTTAGAGTCTTGTTGTTGCTACAGAAATGAACGAACAGTTTCTAAACCATTTTCAGCATCGTTGGCATTAACTATCGGTGGCTCAACACCATCATCAATGTCACCATCATCAAAATGTGGTTGTTAACAATTGGGGAGAACAACTTCGTCAACTGAGCGCTCAACCAGGTAACGACTTTGTGACTCGGGCGTTGGGACCATTTTGATTATATACAAATCTACCCGTTTATTTCTTATTATCTACTCTAATGTTTATTTTGTATGTCTTTATACATCTACTCATCAGGTCCCAGCTTGAGCGCTGAGAAGGATGACATACTCAGAACTATCGCAAAGGTCGCAGAGAGTGTAAATGAGCTCAAAAGACAGTCTGATGATGAGACAACAATCGCCATATCCTCTATGACCACGGGCAAAAGAAAAAAGCTTGCAGCACGCTATGGAGCATGGGAACAAGTGTCATGGATAACTTTTACTGACTTCCCTGCGTTCGGCAGTGAGCCTTTACCGTTTACATGGGGCGATGGCGATGAGGATAGTCATGCACAACAATATACTGACTACATCTGAGAATCTTGCAAACTATGTTGTAAAAGATGTTCATGCAAATAAGCGATATTGGAATAGTGGGATTGCTCGTGGAACTACTGACGTGGTTGTGTTCGAGCCTAAAGCATTTCGTGAACAAGATGTTATAAAACTAGCCATTGAGTTGAAAAGGTAAATGTGAGGTTAATAATAATTGTTGACGAGTTTCATGATTTCTAACAGCAATTTCACGGCTTTATTAAGGCAAGCCCAACCTAACGACGAAAACCAGGCTATCGGCGAATTATTTGCTGCAAATGCAGTGTCTTCAGAAAAGCCAATAGTCTTACTGACGGATTTACAGCAGACGTATATCTTCTTTTGGCTTGGCTATTCTCCATGTGAAACCACACCTGTCACCTCCCCGCAAACTCCGAAATTGACTGTCTACGGTACCAAATTTGATAATATTCACCAAGCGGCAACGTTTGCACGTATTCTGCTAGATCCTAGCCAGCTGAGGAATGCCTCAGTTAATATCCAAAACTGTTTTCCAGTCTTTGATAAGAGGGCACAAACTATGGATTTGAGATCCTATATTATTCCTGAAGATGGAGATATCGGTAATATGGATGATTTTAAAGATGAAATGACAGCATTGTATGTCACATGAAATTACAAAGATGCCCCTTGTGCCACCAACTTATCGACCTTATTATCCTATACAAATCATTCCATATAGGTTAAACAATGTAGATACGGTAATAGATGCAGGGTAAACCTTCCTGTCTCATGCACATAAATCATCATTTTCAGCAATAATGGAGATGAACATATTTTACATTTTTGCATATAATTCTAGCTTATACATCGATTTGCATGCTATGAACAAAAAAGTTTTATATATCAATGTTGACTGTTGTGACCAGTTTAGCATTGATCGAATAAAGCGATTGATTTTAAGTTCGATTAACGAAATGAAACTACAGCAAATACATCGAATCGTGGATCGGTTCTATTGTCAACCGATTTTTAACTTACGTAAGCTGAGCAATCAGATACTAAGCATCGTATATAAACAACGTAAAGTACGCTATCGGTATGATTGTAGAAATGACAAGGTGATATATATATATACAGTCAAGACTGGATATAACGATATCTCAATATAACGATAACTGGATCTAACGATGAAATTTGTCATTACCA